AGTTTTTTTTTAAGTATAACAAATGCAATTTAGGAAATCTCAACAATAACAACTATCTAATTAGTATAAACTACAAAAAGTAGTATCAAGTAGTAGATATACTAAGAAAAAAAGAAAATAATTTAATATTAGAGACTTCTATAACAGTATTTAGTGAATATAAAGAAATAGTAGAAGATAGCAATTTTGAGCAAGAGCTAAAAGTAGAAATCACAGCAAACAGTCTAGAATTTATAATTATTCAAAATATAGTAGAAGAAGAGTATTTAAGAGAAGAGTTAGTAGAAGCATATAAAAGACTAAAAAGAAGAAAAATAATTGAGTACTATATAGTTAGAGTTTTAGAAAATAATAGCAAAAAATAGAAGCAGGTAGAATGAGTATTAGATGAGTAGTTAAAGAGAAGGATGTAGTAGATAGAAATATTAGTTTTAGTAGTAGTTTAGAGAAATAGTTCTTCTCAATATGTATAGAATTAGAAGTTATTTGGTTAGCTCTACTCATAGTACTATACAAAGCTAAAACATATATTTTCATAGATAGCAAAGCTGCAATAGAAGTCTTAGAGAGAAACAATACAAATAGCAAAACATATAGCTAGTTCAAGATAAAAAATAGAAATATAATAAGCTAAATTAAGAGCTATTGCAAGACAAAAGACTTGAGTTTAGTAATACACAAAGTTAAAGATTATAGCAGAAATATATAGAATAATTAGGCAAATAGGTTAGCTAAAGAAGGATTAAAAAAGCCTCTAAGTTTTAATATACTGGAGATATCATTTAGCAACCTATTAGCTGTATCTAAATAAAAAAGTCAAGTAATTAAAAGTCTTCTTAGATCTTTCATAAATATTATTATAGCAATAGCATATAAAACAGAATGAGCAAATCTAAACAAAATAGCTAAAATTGTTCTTATTAATCAGAATGCTAATTCTGATACAGAATTAAATTAGAAGATTACATGGGATCTGCTTAAGAAAATGTAGAAGAAAAAATATATTAGTCTTAAAAAAAATAAGACTCTTATATTTCGCATAAAATGTATAAACAAGATTCTGTCTACGAAAGATATTTGCTTTTAAAGAAACTTTAAACATTACAAAAGCCAAAAGTGCATAGCTTGCTTTAAGGAAGATATAATTTTCTACTATTTAGCAGAGTGTGAAATCTACTAAAATATCTGGAAGAAACTAGAAAAAGAAGTAATACAGCTAACAGACCTAAAAGTTTCAGAAAAATTTGATTTCATACTTGATGAAAACTCATTCTCAAATAGCAATTTATAGCATAGAACTAGAAAAAAGAATACAAAACAGAAGAATATATTTAAGAAGGCTTATAAGTATTAAGCAGTTATTAAACCTAAATAAGATAACTTAGTTAAAAAAGAAAGCAATCAAGGTTTTAGTTAGCTTCGTAAAATTTTTCTAAGAATGCTTCTATAAACATCTATAGAAATTCTAATATAAAGTTATAATCAACTGAGAAAAGAAGAACAATATTATAGCTAAGAAAAAAAAGAAAAATAAAACAATAAAAAATACAAGAACAAAAAAAATGAATAGCTGTATGATTCTAAAAAAGAAAAAAGAAAAGAAAAAGAAAAAAGAGTATAGAAAAAGATATTAGACAGAGTTGACAAATAGATAAAAACAGATAAAAAGAAGAGTAGGTTAAAATTAAAACAAAATGATCAATCTTGATATAGGCTAATAATAACTTTTCATTAATCAGAAGTCTAAGGTCTGTACCTGCAGACTAAAGCTTTTGTAAGTGAAATTGTTGCTATAGCAGATTGCACTTAGACATTTTAAGGTAGCTAAATGAATCTAAAATAGTTGAAGAAAAATAATTTATTATTTTTCTTTAGATAGTAATATACTTTGTAACTTATTTAAGTTTTTTCTAAATAAAATGATAAGCAAGATCGCCAAAAAAAAAATAAAATAAAAAATAAAGTTGTAACATGATTGCTAAATAAAAAAAATATATACTAATAAAATATAATTAATAAATTCAAATAATAAAATTTAAAAGATAATCCATAGTTAAAAAGTATAAATTTCATAGTAAACATCAGCGAGTATTTACTAATTGTCTAATATAATAAGTAAAATCTCAAAAGATTTTTGCAATACGTAATAAAAATTGTATAATAATAAAAAATAAAAATACTAATATTTCGAGATTTACTAAACTAATTTTGATGTTTTTATTACCATTAGAATTAGAAAACATAGTTATACAACTTTTATTAGAAACAAAAAAGATTAACTTAATAAAAAAATACTTTTATATAACTTATAATCTAACCAGATTTTTGTATTATAAAAAGTTTATATTAAATTCCGATTTTGTTTATTATAAGATTTAGTTTTTTAACTCTTCAACTACGATTTACCCCTTAATCATTTTTGTTACTAAAAATCTATATTATAACAATATGATATAATTATATTAAATAATAAGACATGTTTCTAGGAACACACTTTTCTAAGCATGCTCTCTGACTCTGTGCCTCCAACCTTACAACTAGCAATATATAAATCATCTTTTATATTAATTTGTTTTAATTTATTTAATTCTTCAAAAAATAAATATTTCGAAAAAAATTTTTTTTTTGTTTCATCCCTTTCTTTTCGGTGAGGGGTTCCATATATTATATTATCCGGCATCTTAATATGGTATTCCTGCTCAATAATTTTATTATTCAGCAGAAATGATAGTTTAACCTATTTTTAACTATTATTTCTGCTCAATAATTTTATTATTGGGCAGAAAATCATAGTAAGCTGCCGGATAAATCCGTTATCTGACATACTGATACTGTCTTATAACTCATTTATTTTGATCAAGGATTTTTAAAGTCAACCTAAGAAATTAAATTCCAAAGGAATTCAATTTTTTTATCTGACCTTAAATCCTCGACTGAAATAAACCCGTTATCGGATAGTGCCTACCTAATAACTTATTATTACAATGAATTTTTTATTATAAATTAATTTATAATTAATAAATAATTATCATATAATAATTACTACTATATATTATTAAATATACATTTTTATTAAGTTTTTTTAAAGTAGGTTTAAACAAATAATTTCAAATTTTTTTTTTTAACTAAAATATATAAAATCAACTATTAAAATATTTTAACAATATTCGTAAAATCATCGACCAAAATTTTTCAAAAAAAAGTATAAATGATATACATTTTTCGGTGATAATTTTTTTTTTTTTTTTTATTCTATAAAAAGTTTGAAGACGGACGAAACGAATTTAGAGGAGAATATACTGTTTATAGATAAGACATTTTAGGGAGAAAAAAAAAAAATATGCATTTGATATCAGTAATCAAAAAAAATATTTTAATATATATATGCAGTATAGTCTCTATAATCAAAAAAAAATTTTTTTTTAATAATATATATATACAGTATCAGGTATAGTAAATGAATTGATTCCCGGATGAGCTCGTATCTTTTTTTTTAAAAATTTATAATCTTTAATCCCTTAAGAAACTTTAATATTATATGATTATATAATTACCGTAAAAAAAAAAAAAAAAAAAAAATTTAATTACAGTAATAATTTTTAATTTCATCTTAAAATAATCTTAAAAAAGAATTTTATAATATATTCGATTATAAATTTCTATATTAAAGTTATATTCAATATATGTAAAAGAAGTGTGATGTTTGCAAAAGAAATTTCTTGTGAACCGAAATTGAATTAAGTTTAGGGCGCTCATCGTTCTCAAAGTGTACTACAAACATTTCCTAATTTAATTTAAATAAGAGGGTGTAAGAAGAGAGTATTGGTAAGTAGGGGAAAAAAAAAAAAATTTTTTTTTTTTTTTGATGATGATGAATGATGATTAACATATCAATTATTAAATTTTTAGTTTTAATTAAATACTAATTTAGATTTGTGACGTAGAAAAAAACCGTTAGCATAGAACATTGAACACGCGAGCAATGTGATTGTATTCTGCTGCGATCTTATTTAAGTTTACCTTATGGTCGATCATCAAGATAACATCTTATTGATCTATTATTTTAATTTTGTACTAGTAAAAAAAAAAAAAAAAAAGTTTTTTATTGTATGTTTCGATATACCATAGTTAGAAAGTATTGCAAATACGTACATGAAAAAAGAAAACACATACACATGCTAATAAAAAGGATTTGATGAATTTTTAAAATAAAATAAAATAAACAAATAATAGTATATAAGTCAATATTAAAAAATGGAAATTATGTATTGCATATCGATATACAGTAAGTGGGAAATTTTAACACATTCGATTTAGAAGTGTTACGTGTGCATTATGGATTTGTCTTCAGGGAAGAAGTGTTACACTATGCACTATTCCGTAAAAAAAAGGATCGAGATTTAAAAGGTAACTTACAGCAAGATTCGATTAATTGAGAAATAGAATCATAATGAATGAGTCAGAATCAAAAAAACAAGGTCAAGTAAATCAAAGAAATTTGGAAAATAATTGTTGTTTTTTAAAAACAAAAATATATATTATTTTGTAAATAAAATATTCACATGTGATAAAATATTATCTGCTATATTAATACAATAATACAATAATTAATTACATAGATTAATTGCTTTGCTCTACATCTAAATTGTTTTACGCTATGATTTTACCATCACAAGTTATAGATTAAAGAAAGTCGGTATGGTAAAAAAAATTTCCATGAGAGGGAAAACATAAAATTGTTATATATAAATCCTTGGTGACTGATGACCAAGATGACTATTCAACACCTTTGATTAATTGCTATATATAAACCTTTAAACAAAGAATGAAAATAAAAAATTTACAAAAGATTAAAGAATACAGTATAAAGAAAAAAAATGATGTGTATAAAAATGTTATTAGTGAATATATATTTATAGGATGAATTTTTTTTTTTTTTCGTAATGGATTTTCTTAATTTTCAATTAATATAATTTATATCAATAATATATATCAAATATTTATTGTTGTAATGAAGTAGTAGTTATGTCAGGTACTGACATAGTACCAATCTTTTGAGCAAAAAATCGCCAAGTCTTGAAAGAATTTTTATTTTGTTCGACTTCTTTTGTAAAAGTGACAACCAATTCATTATATTCTTGAGACTTTAATTTCATAGCTTTAGATAATGGGGCTTTAATCGCAGTCCATCCGTTAGAGATATCTTCTACAGCCTATAAATTATAAATACGTATTTATAAATAAAGACGAGTAGGTCACATGACTATTACCATATAAGTTGAAAGCTTACCATTTTACCAAGGTCACCTGCCCATGATCCAACAAAGCAAGTCTTTTCTTCAGTTTGGATGCCTTTTTGTATTTTATCGTTATCTTCCATAGATTGGGGAATATATGAATTCAATGGTTCCAATATTTTCTTTGACTTCATGAACGAAGTTACTGTGTTACAAATTAATGATTAGCAAACTGCATAACCGAATAATAATAATGCAATACGTATAATATAATAATAAAATAATAATAATAAATAATAATAAAATAATAATAATAATAATAACACATACATGCATTTGTTAATCTCATAGTTGTAGGACCTTCATTAAAATAATGTATATCACTTTCCATAAATTCTATCCAACCACCTTGCTTAGTAACTCTTACAATTTCGGGAATAACTTTTTCATTAAATTCAGTGGCAGTGAAAGCAGTTACTAATAAACCCATATGAACAAAATCAAAAGTATCATCCAAAAATGGGAGACCATCAAGTATATTTGCTTGAATAAATTTGACATTTTCAGGTTCCATTTCTTTAGAAAAAGCAGAAACGAAATCTACACCAGTAAAAGTAGATTGTTCGTACATTTCAGACATTTCGATTGTCCAAGTACCAGGACCACATCTAAGAATATATAAATATTATATAGTATTAATAAACAAATCAATTGTAAATAAATCATATATATATATATATATATAAATAAATATAATTAATACCCAATATCAAGAACTTTAGCACCACCAGCTTTTAATTTCTCTTCAACAGGAGCCGAATAATTACTTTGCCAAATACGTTTAAAGAACCAATGTTGTCTTTGTAATCTTTCAATTTCTTTATCAGAGATGGAATTAAATAATTTAGAAGTTTTTGCACTATGGATTCGTTTACCACTACCAGTAAAACGCCAAGTTTCATTTAAACTTTCGTCAATGGTTAAAATTTGAATATTCGAAGGAGAACGTAAAGAACGAAATTTCTTTTTCTTTTCCACTTTGTTGGTACTTAATTTATTTTTACCGTTCGATATTGCGCTTTTTGATTGCCTGTGACCCATTTTCGTTTGTAAATATTTTCGAATTAAAATAAGTTATATACAAAATGTGTATGTATTATATACTAAAATGAGATAACGTATGTGTTATTAGTGTACAGTTTATTTTAGATGATTTGCGTACTAAAAAAAAAATTATTTATAAAAGAAAAAATAAGAATGAAAAGAAGGTAAAAAGAACCGGGTGTAGAAGGTATTTAAATATATTCAAGTTATGTGAAAAAAATTTTTTTTTTTTTCAAAATGGAAAGAGAAACAATAAATAAATAAAAAAGTTATGATTGAAAAAAAATCCGGCAGGGGGGTTATAAAGAAATCGGAATATTTTTATTGTTAATTACTTTTTAAAATAAGTATCGATATAATATCTAACAGTAATATATAATAATAATTGTTTGTGTATATGTGTGTGTGTGTGTGTGTGTGTGTGTGTATGTGTGTGTGGTGTGCTCGAGGAAAAAATCTATATGATAAATATTTAGTCGAACTTGAGGTGCATACATGCAATTAAATCACCAAAAAATTTGTAATAATTATATTGTGTAAACAGTAAAGCCCTTATTTGAAATTGTGTTGGGGGGAAGTCTGTGAAAAGGTATTTATACTTTTGGCGTACCTATCGATTATAAACAAAAAGTTGTGTGCAAATAATAACAATTACTAAAGGCGCGCTACAAAAAAAAAAAAAAAAAAAAAAAAAGAAAAGAAAAAAAAAGTATTTATATTTATATTTATGGGTTGTTTATTGTTTTTGTCTTTATGAATAACAACTGTACTGCCATGAAATTACACGTGCATTATAAAAATATATATAAAAAATTCAAAGTAAAATGCATTTCCCGTGATCGTGTTACTATAGAACCTGAGAATTTTAGAAATATGGAACAAGTATCGACATTTGGAAAATTCTAAAAGTATAAAATAATTGAAAATTATAACCATTTTAAGGTATTCACTTACTTCGAGAGTACGCGTATATAAAAAAAGATTGCACGGGTGGCGCCGAAAATGCGGCTTTAATGATTTGTATCTTTGTATCGAGTTTTCGAACATGAAACATCTAGATACTGTGATTTCCATATTCAAGATAGAATACTTGTACAATGAATATTAAGAGGTATTTTTGCTGTTAAATAAAATAAAATAAATAAAATAAAATAAATAAAATAAATAAATTACATAACAGCAATAAGTTTAATTCAAGTTTATTTTAGAAGTTAAATGCGTATGCCAATGATAAAATACAGCATTTAGATATTACCGAGATTATGATGCGTAAACTATAATTTACTACTATCTGCTATATATTACGATATGTTATATATGTTATGATATGTTATCTGTAAATTTTATTTATGCGTTTTTAAAGACCAACCAAAAACAAAAGATCACCTTTGCATTTGGGTTCGTATCAAACAGCGAGTTTACACCGTTTTATCACAATTTTGAATGCTCGGAGATATGCGAGTAGAATATCACATTTTTTTTGCATATAACAGGATAACACATTTTTTTGCATATAACAGGATAACACATGCACCCTTCTACTCGTTGAATTTATACACTCACTGTATAACTATCGGAAACACTATTTTTTTTCTTTTTTTTTAAATCTACTCTACCTGCATATATGTTGACTCAAAATTACATAACAAATAGTAACACGAAACCGAATTTGTTTCATCACGTAAATAGTTACCTGATACGTAATATACTGTACATACGACATATGTACATTACGTACGTACGTACAAACTTATCATTATCAGTTATTTAAAAAGATTCATGGCACTTTATAATCACACTCTTTACACTATTTGATATCCGACCAAAAATCATTTATTGAACACAATTAATAATTGTGAGAGACGAGCAAAGCATCTTAAATAAGACAAGAATTTTTTTTTACATCACAAGTGTGAAAGCTGATAATGCACCCGTTTAATGTAGTGTAGTGGTATTTTCGGTCATACAATCATACAAACAATAATTTTCAACTTATTCCGCATAACTTTAAGAGGCATATCTTTATCTCGTCTGTGTTAGCTGGGCGTTCTTCCACTTACAACTCAATATATTAAGATAAGTCTCTAAAAGAAATAAATGAATGACTTTAACTTCATAAATAAATCTATTAATAACATATTTAATAAAGATAAGTTATATATGTATCTATATGCAGTTTATATGAAATCATTGAAAGCCCACGCGTGTTAACATGGTAAATTATAAATATTAAGAAAAAGCTTGCATTTTGTGACCGGTTTAACTATGATTTTTTGTTATGCAAAGATAAAACATTGTGAAACAAATTTCTCAGTTTTATGATTCTCTAAATTTAGTAATTTCTTTCCAAGCATATAGAAAACTGATTAAGTAATAACTCGTGGGACGAATAACAATAATGATTATTAAAAATTAAGTTATGGCTTATGACCCGTAAGGGTTTATTAAATTATTTATTTCCTGTGACCCTTTTAAAAATTTCCCTCTATGTAATCAATGATCTTAATGATGTTAAATGATAATAATAATGATAATGACGGTAATTACAGTAATGATACTAAACAGGTGATATACAGGTCTGAGTTATTTGTTGACTCCTAAACGAACAGACTATACGCATACATATATCCTTTTTATCTTTTTAAAAAAATAATGATGCATCTTTTATATATATTTTATCGGATAGTTTGGTTTTGGCGTCAGTTAGGGTTTACTACTTTGTTTATTGTTTGTAATTTTCGCTTTCCTACTGATGTTAATCTGTGAGGCTTTTTTTTTTTTCGGTTCGAAAATCCGGTTTTTCTTTTTTTTTTTTTTTTTTTTTTTTCGTGACAACCTACGTTATCTATCATTCTTAATCATTCTTAATCAAGTTTAGTATAGTTTAAACTAGGAGAACAAGATGCCTAGTTGTTAGGACGTGATCTTGCCGGTACATAAAATAATAATGCCTGTTTCATAAGAACGCCATGTTTCTATTACGTACGTACGACAGCCCATTCTTTAAATTTTAAAAAGTGTTCGTCATTACAAATAAATTTGAAATTCTCCTTCTAGATCAAATCAAATTATAAACCTCTATAACAAAATCCTACTTCTAAATTCAAATAATTTACATTTCTACACAGATGCATTTATCAAAAACTCCCAAACTCCAAATATCAAAACTGGTATTGCATGGATACTTCAAAACAATACCCAAATCAAATTTA